TAAATGATATAGATGATAACATCGAATTACCAGAACATATTATTCAACAAGGAAATATAGATATTGCTGAAGAAATGTATAGTCATTTGATACAACAGAAAAAATTTAAAGATTTGTCAATGTGTGCAATTTTAGCACCAAGAAATGTTGACGTTGATGATATTAATAAGAGGGTGGTAAATCTCTTAGACAGTAAAGGTGAAAAAATATATAAAAGTATTGATTCAACTGAAAGTTGTGATAATGGAAAATTTTCTGAAGTTTTATTACCAGAATATTTAAACACTCTCTCTCCACCTTCTTTACCACCACATGAATTACATTTAAGAATTAATTCTGTTGTAATGCTTATTAGAAATCTTAGTATTAACGAAGGATTATGTAACGGAACAAGGTTAATTGTTTTAGATTTATCACATAATGTTATTAAATGTAAAATATTAACCGGAGATAAGAGTGGAAATATTGTTTTTTTACATCGAGTAACTTTATATTGTGAAAACTTATATCCATTTACTTTTAAAAGACGACAGTTTCCTATAAAATTGGCTTTCGCAATGACCATTAATAAATCTCAAGGTCAAACATTTAATAAAATATTCATTGATTTAAGACGAGATGTTTTTAATCATGGTCAGATGTATGTTGCATTATGAAGAGTAAAATCATTTGATTCCGTAAAAATATTTTTAGGAGAAAATAGAAGTAATATATATATAAAAAATTATGTTTATAGAGAAATTTTGGACTTTTCTTAATTTAGTTTATTTTGTTATGTTGAATTCCTTTGGGATTTCAAATTTGAAACATTACATTGAAGGGAAAGATCAGTGTAAATTTTAAAAAATACAAATATTTCTCTCTGCTAACAACACCAAAAGATATAACTTGATTATACTGAAAGAGACTAGACTCTTAATAATAATAATTATATAATAAATAATAATAATTTTTTAAGAATAACATTTTTTAAGAATAATTGAATTTCTTTAAAAAATTTTATTACTTTTGAAAAAAAAGAATTCTTGTGACGAATATTGATATTCTTGAAAATAGTTGAATTACTCTGAATGAGTTTATTATATTTTATAAAAATAATCAAATACCTGAAAAAATGTTTAAAATTTAAAATTATGTTGTGGTATTGGTATAAAATTTAATTTGTAGCATAGAAGTTTATAGTTAAAAAAATTTGAATGGGCGCGCGTAGCGCGCAGAGTTTGTTCTAGTATATATAAAATATATAATTATAATTATGCGAAAATTTTCGGGAAAGTTTCGTGCTAAACATTTATTTAATCGGGACATTTAAATCTTTACACAATTTTCACTAAATTTTTCAGTTAAATAAGCCGAATATTGCAAGTAAATATTTAATAAATATTTCGGAAAGTTTCGGTGCTGTGAGGGTATTTAGAAAAATTTACTAACATAGATGAAATTATTCTAAAAAATTGTCAAAAACTTCCTATAAATTTAGAAAAAAAAGTCACAAATGTTATGTTTTTGTGACATAGCGTAGAAAAAATTCTAAAAGTTTTGAAAAATTCTCTTAAACGCTTAGCTAAATTTCCTTATAAAAATGTAGAGAAATTTAGAAAAAAATCTTATTTTCAGATATTTTAATTTGAAATCTTTTCACAATTATTCAATTATTTAAATACAAAATTCAGAATTTTTTTATGAATTCTAAAAATTTAATTTTTTCAGTCCTTTTAATAAAAATGTCTGATTTTTTCTTGAATCTCCTGTTTCAGAATGTATGATTATTGTGTTTATGATATAGTAATAATTTATATTCCAATTCATACTTTTTATTTTTATGAAAAAAAATGTAAATTAAAAATTTTGAAATTCTGTTTTTTTTTAAATTGCTAATTTCATTTGAAAAAGTATGGCAGAAGTTAGCAGCGAGTACATTGTTACTATACATAGTTTGATATAATAAATATTGCTTTAAATTAGAATTATTCATTTGTTTACTAATATACACGTGTATGGGTTGTGTGAATATGTATGAGTATACACGTGTTTGTGTTGTGTTTATATGTGTGATTATTTTTAATAAGGTTGTTTTCGAATTTCTTTGCTCAAATGCCTTCAAATTGATTTTAAAAAATTCCTAAAAATTTGAGCCCACATATAGCACATTTTTCAGAAAGTTTGCAGCAAGTTTGCGGTGCAAAGTTCTGAAGTTTGCAGCAAAGTTTATAACTGTATAAAAATGTCCGCCCAATTTAAAGTTTGCAATGCAAACTTGCTGAAAACTTGCATGGCAAACTTAAACTTAAATGTCTGTGCAGTAGTTTTCTATGACATTTAGAGCTGCGCACTAAATTTTGTTACCTTCCCTAAGAAGGAAGGCAACATTTCTCAAAATACATATATTTTGAATAAAAAAAGTTTTTTTTTGAATTTTTTAGTAAGATTGCTGCAAATTTTCCTCAAGTTTGCTATAAAATTATCTGTAAGTTTGCAAACTTGCCATGCAAACTTCCGAACTTTGCACCGCAAACTTGCTGAAAAATGTTGTGCTATGTGGAGGCTCTTTAACTTTAAGATAGTCCGCACTACAACTAAAGTTTTTTATGGGAATAACTTAGCAACAAATAAATCAAAAGTAATAAATCGCGACATTTTTAATATAAAGGGCTAAGGGGGTTAAAAAGTGCAAAAACTGCCCCCGCATCTATTTTTCTCAAATTTGGCCCATATATTACTATCCAGATGACTATAACTTTCTGCAATTTTGAACTCAAAATTGGCTTTTTTGGGGGAGTTATGGAGGGGGAAAGCAAAATAAAGAAACTTATTTTTCTCGAAAACTACTAAACCGATTTTAATGGAATTTTAAGAGGTTGTAGATAAAGATAAGACGATTCTAGAAAAAAAAATTAAAATTTTTTTTTCAAAAAATTTTTTTGAAATTTTCAAAAATTTTTTTTAGGGTTATTTTTTGAAGTGACCACTTTCTATTTTGTTGTAAAAAGTACCTTATAATGTCCCCTTTAACATATATTTTTTCCAAATTTTTTAAAAATATAGTTTTTGAGTAAAATGTCAAAAACCATGCTCATGCTATTTGTCAAGTATACGGTAATGCACATATACATATGGGCAATTTCATGTGATAGGGTATAGCTAAATAAGTATGGAAAAAGTGACCCGAATATATTTTTCCCATTCATTCCAACACACTTAAAAATAACTTTTTGAAATTTTTAACTCAAAATTTTGAGTTTTTTGGAACTTATAGAGAGGAAAAAATCGAAAAACGCATTTTTCTCAAAAATTACTGTATGCATTTTAATCAGCTTTGGATATGTTGAAAAGACAATTAAAGAGATTCCAAAAAAAAATGCATACAGTAATTTTTGAGAAAAATGCGTTTTTCGATTTTTTCCTCTCCATAAGTTCCAAAAAACTCAAAATTTTGAGTTAAAAATTTCAAAAAGTAATTTTTAAGTGTGTTGGAATGAATGGGAAAAATATATTCGGGTCACTTTTTACATACTTATTTGGCTATACCCTATCACATGAAATTGCCCATATGTATATGTGCATTACCGTATACGTGACAAATAGCATGACCATGGTTTTTGACATTTTACTCAAAAACTATATTTTTAAAAAATTTGGAAAAAATATATGTTCAAGGGGACATTATAAGGTACTTTTTACAACAAAAGAGAAAGTGGTCACTTCAAAAAATAACCCTAAAAAAATTTTTTGAAAATTTCAAAAATTTTTTTTGAAAAAAAAATTTTAATTTTTTTTTCTAGAATCGTCTTATCTATATCTACAACCTCTTAAAATTCCATTAAAATCGGTTTAGTAGTTTTCGAGAAAAATAAGTTTCTTTATTTTGCTTTCCCCCTCCATAACTCCCCCAAAAAAGCCAATTTTGAGTTCAAAATTGCAGAAAGTTATAGTCATCTGGATAGTAATATATGGGCCAAATTTGAGAAAAATAGATGCGGGGGCAGTTTTTGCACACTTAACCCCCTAAGCCCAAAACGCTGTATATCACGAAAGACCTCATAATTTTTAGCAAAACCTATTGATTTATTATTAATATTATCAAGGATTTTTATTAATATGATAATAACTTATTATAGGGGAGACTGGGGTTAAATATTAAACAGTCAAGACAGTTAAAGTTCATTATCTTTTAAACGGAAATAGTTAGAGCATTGCAGTTTTAACTATAGAAGGGTCTTATCACTCTAAATAAATATCCATAGTTATGTGACATGCACAGGGTTGCTACAATTTTTCTCGAATGAAATTCCCTGACATTTCTAGGTTTCCCTAGGGAATTTAGATATGTGTGATTGATTTATTTATCAAATTTATTTATATATATAAATCACACAATAATTTAGAGAACAGTATAAACATCTATAAAAATTGAAATGAAAAACGATTTTTTAAAAACAAATAAAAATAATAAAAATTTTTTAATTTGGTGAAAAATTCCCGATTACACATAATATTCCTGACTTATTCGGTAAAATTCGCCAAAAATTAACATAATTTTAACAGAAAATTATTTTCCAGGTGTTTTCTCATTTTTCCCTGACTTTTCTATACGAAATAAAAGAAATTCACTCTAAATCTGAATTAGTAATGTTCTACTAATGAAATAGTGAGGATTCGTCTACCAATTGAATTAGTAACTGTTACTACTAATTTTTAGTAGTTTTTTTACTAATTATTAGTACAAAATTTACTAATTTAAAATAGTAAAAAATACGTGTTACTAATTGAATTAGTAATTTTCTACTAGCAATTTGTAAAAAACTACTAAAAATTAGTAAAAAATGTTACTAATTTAAATTGGTAAACTAATCTGCACTAATTCAGATTTAGAGAGTGTGAATTCGCTTTGTATATGTGTATTTAAATAAAAATTTTTATATATATTAGTATATTTACACATTGTTCATGTACACATTATTATTGATTATTCAAGTATATGTATATTATATATTTTACAGGTCAGTTTGTTGACAGCACGAAATTAGCAGAAAAGTGCTTTAAAAATGTTGGGCCATCAGGACTGATCGACTTGAAGCATGGAACTACCAAAATGAAAGATTGTTTTGTATCGTTAATTGATGTAGATAGTTTGTCAAAGCATACAGACATCGCCAAACGAACTGGCGATGTAGAAAACATAATCTCAAGATACTTCCAAAAATCGGAACATTTAAAAAACTGTTTCCTCCATTACACCAATGTTCTGGAGCCTTGTTTAGATCCTTCTAACAAGGAGTTTTCAAAAATATTGGTGAACATCGCAAATGCTGCGATTGACTATATTTTTGTCACAAAAAAGAGACAAGCAGCCTGTAAGTTTAAAAAAAATCGCTAATACTAGAAATAAAAAAACTATTCTCAAAAATTATAATCAAATTCTTTAAAACGATTAAATTATTTTCAAAAAGATTTGAATTTCACAATAATTCAATTACTTTCATTAATATAATTTTTGATGGATAATTAATTTTTAAAAAAAATTTTGACAAAAATTTTAATCAAGAATTCAATTTTTTCATAAATAATAAAACTAATCCAAGAATTTCAATTATTTTAAATTAATTAATCCAAAAATTCAATTATTTTCACAAATAAAGTTTATCCACAAGAATTTAATTATTTAAAATGAAATTCAAAAAATTAATTATTTAAAATAATGTGTATAAAATTCTTATAAAAAAAATTAATTATTTTCCAAAATAACAATATTTTTCACGGAATTTACACAGACATTCAATTATGGTCAACAATTTTCATAGAATTCTTTGAATAATTTAATTATTTTTATAAACTTTTCGCAATTTAATGATTTTCAATACCTATAATACTTTCAATAAAATTTGTAAGCAGAATTTACTTATTTAAAAAAATTTTTGTAAAAATCTTCGTAAGAATTCAATTCTTTTCAAGAATAATTAAAATTTCTCAGAAATTCAAATATTTAAATTAAAATAATATTTAAGAAAAATAAAAAATGTAAAGAATATTTTAAAAACCTTAAAGTATAAGTGGTAGTAATTCAATTTTTTTTATTTATTTAGCTCTTATTTCCTCTGATTGTTTTGAAAAAAATTTCAAAGCGCTCAAAAAATGTGTAAAACACATTCATGAAACCAATTTTGAAAATATAGTTTCAATAGGAAGTGTGGAAATTTGCAGGTAATTTTTTTAAAAATGTTCTTCATTTTCATTCTATTTTCAATTATTTTATTATTGTCAGTAATTTTTTTTAAAGTGTATATTTATTTTTACATTGAAATTTATAATTTTAATGTATTTTTATGTGAATAAAGAAAAATTAATTTTGTGAGTTGATTAAATTTGTTTATTTCCAGCGATATAACGAAACTGCGAGATTGCTTAATGAATGAGCTGAAGACCTGTGATAATCCACAGCCGGCGACTTTTACTAGTGGTATTTTTAATTCAGCATTACGGGCAGCGCCATGTGACAATATGTTTGATGAAAGGCAAGTCATCGTCGGATGCGGATGAGCCATTCATTGTTTTAACTTTTATTACCAGCATTCTTTATAATTTTGTTTAATTCAAATAATTATTATATAATATATAAAATTTGAATATTAGAAAATTAAAAAAAATGTATTAACAAATTAATTTTGTTTTTTTATACGCTTTTTATAAGAAATTTCGTTTGACTGATCTAAATTATGCAAATTTTTTTTGCTTTTTATTTATAAAAGATATTAGAAAATTTTTAATTATGAAAAATTATGATTGAAAAATAGAAAATATTTATCAGTTTTATGAACAATTTTAAAGGTAAAAATGCACAGGTTATAGGCAGATTTCGCAATTTTTATAGTTCAAACAAGATTATGTTTGTATTTACGAAGGTAGGGTAGAGTGGGGTAAAAAAGCCATATTTTTACATTTGATGCTATAAAATCTGTATTTAAAATTTTTTCTCAAATTTCCAAATTTGTATTGAAAGTTTAGTTACTATAGTAACTAAGCTTAAAAATTCTTGACGGAAATAATTTTTATCCCATGAAAGGACTGAAATATAAGAGTTTTAAGGAAGCACTGCAAGTGGCTTTTTTGTACCACCTGTTGGGGTGAAAAAGCCACCTCGCGACTTTAGCAAAATATGTTATTAATTTTCGAATTTTTATAGTTTTCCTTTAGGTATATGATAAATAATCTTCTTTTTCAAATATTTTTATCAATTGTAAAGAGTTTTTAGCAAGGAAAATTGAATATTATGTTAAATTTACCTGTTTTCGATTCATACTGCCAATTTTTCGTACCTTTTCTAAAATTCCTCTTCATGTTTTATATCACAAATACCAAATTTGGTTACAACCGTTAATTAGTTGTCTATTTTCTTAATGCACTTTGAACTACTTTTTCGTCGTGCTTAATTAATTTTATTAAATAAACACAAGAAGTTTTATAAAATAAGAGGGTTAGTTGAAGTAGAAAACAAATGAATTTCACATAATATTCAATGGATTTTTGTCGTTGGCTTTTTTACACCCAAGACCATTTTTCAAAACAAACTAAATTAACTATATTAAATTTTAGCACATTTTTTTACGTCGAGGTCTTTAAAAACCTAAAAGTGTCCAGTCAAAAAATTACAAATTGCAAGTTTTTTCAGTTATTTATAAATAATTTAGAGAGTAACCTCGAGACCCAGGTTGTGAAAAAATAATTAACATTAACTCACAAAATAATGTATAGATTTCGATAAATTTTGTTACTCAGGGGTTTTCGAGGTCGTTGATTACGAATCTGATGTCAGATTTCCAAATTTCAAAATAGCGGATCCAATATGGCTGACGAATTTTCAAAAATTGCATGCAATTTACACGAAAATTAAAAATGGCGGATCCAAAATGGCTGACGAATTTTCTCAAAAGTAGGCAGATTAATTTAAGAACTTTTATTCGAGAGTTCTTTTCGACATCAGATTTTAATGACATTAAATTAAATTTTGGATTTAGTGACCCCAAAAGTGTATGAAAAAACATTTTAATCAAATGCGACAATATTAAAAAAATTCGGTTGCCATATTGGATCAGACTTTTTTCATTTGTTTATAACAATATAAATATTTATGCAGAGTAAAAATTAAATATTAGTTTTCACCAACCTTTTACAAAGATAATGAAGATTATTTAAAAAAAAATTTTTGAAAGGATTGAAAATTGTTGGCTTTACCCTATTTTGAACATAAGCACATGTGTATTCTGTCAAAGAGTGCAAGGAAACTGAAAACCAGGAAACAGGGAATAAGGTTCTACGACACCTAGAGCAACAAAAGTATAGAATCATAATAGTACATTTTGCAACAAGTACGGAAAGAAGCTGTTTTCCGACAAGTGCGAAGTTTGCTACTTCGAGCGAAGCGAGGGCAGCAATTCGCACGTGGTCGGAAAATCTTCTTTCGTACGTGTTGTCAAAGGAAAGTAGCTCTTTTCCAGCATTGGTTGCACAAAATATATTTTTTAAAAATGCCTGCCAGGAAACTGAGAATTTGTCTGACCAAATGGCAATTTCGATCACAAAGGACACAATTTTAGTTAACTGAACTGCAAATTAGGTATAATGCATGTGTTATCATCTTTAGTTAACCTTTACTAATCACTATGAAAAATGGTGAATTAATCGGAATGAAAATTCTTAACAATTTTAAAGTTTTTTACGATGCCAGGAAACTGAGAATGATTTCAAGGGAAAAAATTCAAGATAATATTTTTTAAATAAAATATAAAGTAATGTAACAATTATTTAAATCTTTATACAGTACAAATATTTGAAATTATTATTCAAGTGTAAATTTGTATTTAAATGCTTGAAAATAATATTTATATAGATTTTTAATTTTCATTTTCGTATTGGGACATGCCAGAAAACTGAGAATTAAGCATTTGAAATTGTACATTTGTACATTATTATATTAGTGTTTGTTGCTCACCGCGTATAATACACTCTAATCTGTTTCCCAAATATTGCATAGCGGAGTTGAAAGGAGATTGTTATTCAACTTTATTATTATTGCTGGAGAAAAAACAGCTTCAAATGGAAAAAATCTTCTCGATTCTGTGATACTCACATATCTAATGTGTCGGGAATGAAATGCTTCTCTCAAGTTATTTATTTTTTGCCTAAAACACCTGATATGACTATATTATTGCGGGTATATGACAATATAGTTTCTATTAACAGAAATCCATATCTACCATATACTATATACATATATACTATATACATACATATACTATATACTCTTCTGTTGGTCTTCTAACAACTGCCTTCCCAACACCGACAAAATAACGACCTTCTATCATCCCTTCTGGTACTTGATGAACCTGAATCTGTAAAAGGCGTCCAATTTCTTCACGAGTTTCATTTGCAATGGGCGCGTCATCTATAGCATTCAAAAATTTTCTAATGAAAAATCTGGTTATTATTTGATCACCTCGTTCGTTAAGACTCGTAACGGAATCTAAAATTTTTTTATTAAAAGCTTCAAAAGGGAAAGCCGAATAGACCCACAACGGGCCCCATCTTTCAACAGAATCAACGCAATGGAGTAATAGATGTACGTTGAATTTCATGTTTTCAATATCATATAGAGTTTTATATTGCCTAACAAATTGATTTAATAGACGTCTTGCTAGATTAAGTTCCCCTGGCAAAATTGATGAGTTATGTAAAATGAACATAGCTGTACACAATTTTGTTAAATGATCAAAGTACAGTTTGTCAAGAAGTCCATGAAGACAAGGGAGAGCATAGAACAGTAGCCAATTTCGCCATTCTGAAGCCTTCCACATTTTATAAGTTTTTATATCACGAGGTAGACGTGAGATTCGAGTGGGAGGCTTAATTTTTAAAAGCCGTGAATTAATAGTACTTAAACATGCAGGTGATCCAATATAATACCCTTTACCTGAATCTTCCATAAAATTACTCTGCATTTCTTTTGCCACTCCAAGAAATACCGCATGGCAGCTATCAACAGGTACATTTCGCGCCAAATCAAATAGAGGTAGAAATAAAAGGCTTGAAAAGCCTTTAACACCTCTATATGGCACTCCTGAAGTGAAAGCTATCTCAGAATCTGACATGATTTCTTCGTGAGTTCTTAAAGGGTAGCGTACGGCGGGATAAACCATTTTTCTTTCCACTCTTACACCAGGAGCATAGCACAATGTACAGCCATATTTTCCATTGTATTGCTTCATTCGCAAAACTTTCGGTCTTGCGACCGAATCAGTTGTAAAAATGGATACAATAACTTTGCTTACTAATTCATTTTGTCCATTGGGTGTCCAAGCGTTTCCTTGGTCGTATAAAGTAGCTAGTTCTAAAACGATAGGTTTCAGAATATTTCTCATTAAAGGTTCTTCATTTGCAATCCATATCCCACCTAATAATAGATTTTTCTTTCGAGCATGTGGAGACAACTCGTTTATTTGAAATACAATTGGATATGTAGTTGCTCGAGATGACTTTGTTAATTTCATTCCATCTGTCCATAATGTTAAGGTTAAATTTTAGTTATTATGCAAAAATTTTCCACGTCTACTTAAATCAACATATCCTGTACCATCAAAAACATCTTCTATAGCATGCATGTCCCGTTTTACTCTGCTCTGTTTGTATTGTAACTTATCTGCTATGTTGGGTATTCTTAAAATATCGCGCAACTGTGAATACAATTTTACTTGTATAAATGTTGCTACATTTGTTCTATCCAGTTCAGGACCTATTTTATCGTGACAAGCCGCACAGTACAAACGATAAATTAGATTCGATTTATTTCTACCTAACATTTTCCATAGTGATTTTTTTGATGTTGGAATATTAATAAATTGAAATGAATCTTTTATCCATTTTAAATGATTTAAAAGGCTTTCATAAGTATTACGATTTTTAATTGATTGAGCTAAAGCAATAAGACAATGATCAATGGCTCTTATATTTTCTTTGTGTCTTAAAGGTGCTCTCATTCCAACGATTCTAAGACCTTGGAATAACGTTCTTTCTGGACGATTATCTCTTTCCACTTCCTCATCTGTCTGCAAGTCAATATCATATTCGTCATCATTATTATCATCATGCACATCATCATCATCGTCGTTATCATTATTTACTTGTTCTTGCTGCTGTTGTTGATCTTGTTGTCGTTGTTCTACTTCTTGTAATATTTCATCTTCTTCTTCTTCAATAACTATTCCTCTTTCTACTTCTTCATTTGCCAAATCTTCATCTTCATCTTCCGCTTCTAGATATTCTTCGTCTTCCACTTCTTCCCCATCATCATAAACATTTTGATCTTCAGCTTCAGGTTCATCTTCGTCTTCACTTTCATCATCATATTCATTTACATCTATATTATTATTTTCATTATCTTCATCGTCATCATCATCTTCAGAATCTGCATCGTAATTAATATTTTGTTGGATGTTTCTCACTTCTCGTCTATTTTCCCCTCTATTTGCAATTTCATTTCTCAAATCCATAGATATATCTGCAAATTAAAATAGTATAATATTAAATAACATAGAAGTATAATGACTTAAAATAATATACAAATAACAGTAGCAGCGCTAGTACTTATGCATTTATTTAAGCGACTTATATATTTTTTATTTACCTAATAAATTTGACGCGTACGCGGACTGCAGACAAGTGAAACTGTCATTTTTAAACTCAGATATGTACTTTTTGAGACAAATAAATATTTTTGGTTGACTCAAATAAAATTATTTGTTAATGTTGATAATGTATATGATCTTGGGAAGGTAAGATTTGAATAAAAAATTCAAAAGTGTGTCGTTAAAAGAGCGACGTTTCGTTGGCTAGGGTTTGCCAACCTCATCAGGCTAAAATTTTATTAAATACATAGGTTACACATCAGTATTTCTTTGGAAAGGTCTAAAAGCACTATTTCTATAAATTAACAATAATGATATACCTAAATTTCGTTAGAACATCGAACACATGCTAACACGTCAAAGATTAAAATTCTGTCAAAATATAATAAAAAATCACTCCACACTTATAAAAATAAAATTTAAAGTAGAGAGAAGACATTCTCACACAGCGATTCACTGTCAACTGAAAAGAAATTTAATTATCTTACAAAGTCGAACCAGGAAACACGTGAGAGAAGTCAATGAACCAAAACATAAACACATTCTTAAATGAGGTACAAGTTATATTGATTTTATTATTTTCTCTATGGACACGAGTCCATACGTCTAAGTAAAGGACAGAATGTTTTGTTTAAGGTGAAAATATCTTCCTTTCTGATGATAGTGGAATGATTTGTTTTTATATGGATCATTTCAGATATTCGTCTTTTTTTAAAATTAGGTTCATTATCCAATATTTTTGTATTTTCCCAATCAAAATCATGATTAAAATTTAAACGATGTCGATAGACCACAGAATTGTCATTTACTTTTTTATGTTCGTTGATGCGAGTTTGTAGTGATCGCTTTGTCTCTCCTATATAAGTTGCTGGGCAGTCTTTACAATCAAACTTATATACGACATTCGTTTTATCCCATTTTTTAGTTGTATCTTTTCCCAATTTTATAATAGAATTAGAGTTTTTGTTAACGATGGGAATAGAGGTATTCAATAACACGTATTTCTCACTCGACGGAAAATTTTATAGGCAGATTTACGGAACGCCTATGGGCTCACCAATCTCGGCCTTTGTTTCCGACCTTGTTATGGATGATCTGGAAAGTGATTGTCTTGAAATATTAAAAGAAAAATATAATTGTGTTCCACTATTCTACTTCAGATATGTGGATGATACAATTTTGGCTGTAAGAAGAGAACACGTCGATCTTGTAATTGACACTTTTAATTCTTATAACCAGAAGTTACAATTTACTATGGAAATAGAAAAGAACAATTCCATTAACTTTCTTGACTTGACACTCATTAGAGAAAATAATCATATAATCACTGACTGGTATCAAAAACCTACTTCTTCCGACAGACTAATTAATTATTTTTCAGATCATCCAATTCAACAAAAAAAGAATATTGTGTACAACTTAGTTGATAGAGCCATTTCATTATCCAATAAAAAATTCCATTTTGACAACTTGAAGAAAATTAGAAAAATTCTTAAAAACAATAGTTATCCTTTAGATTTTATTGAAAAACATATTGGTATTAGAATGAACAAATTAAAATATTCGAATGAGAATAATAACGATCAAAATAGAGTTAGTATATATAGTCAAATCCCCAAGGTTGCTTTGCCCTTTAATGAAAAATATTTCTTTAAGTTGTCAAATGTTCTTAGGGAATTTAATTGTACCTCTATTCCCATCGTTAACAAAAACTCTAATTCTATTATAAAATTGGGAAAAGATACAACTAAAAAATGGGATAAAACGAATGTCGTATATAAGTTTGATTGTAAAGACTGCCCAGCAACTTATATAGGAGAGACAAAGCGATCACTACAAACTCGCATCAACGAACATAAAAAAGTAAATGACAATTCTGTGGTCTATCGACATCGTTTAAATTTTAATCATGATTTTGATTGGGAAAATACAAAAATATTGGATAATGAACCTAATTTTAAAAAAAGACGAATATCTGAAATGATCCATATAAAAACAAATCATTCCACTATCAACAGAAAGGAAGATATTTTCACCTTAAACAAAACATTCTTTCCTTTACTTAGACGTATGGACTCGTGTCCATAGAGAAAATAATAAAATCAATATAACTTGTACCTCATTTAAGAATGTGTTTATGTTTTGGTTCATTGACTTCTCTCACGTGTTTCCTGGTTCGACTTTGTAAGATAATTAAATTTCTTTTCAGTTGACAGTGAATCGCTGTGTGAGAATGTCTTCTCTCTACTTTAAATTTTATTTTTATAAGTGTGGAGTGATTTTTTATTATATTTTGACAGAATTTTAATCTTTGACGTGTTAGCATGTGTTCGATGTTCTAACGAAATTTAGGTATATCATTATTGTTAATTTATAGAAATAGTGCTTTTAGACCTTTCCAAAGAAATACTGATGTGTAACCTATGTATTTAATAAAATTTTAGCCTGATGAGGTTGGCAAACCCTAGCCAACGAAACGTCGCTCTTTTAACGACACACTTTTGAATTTTTTATTCAAATCTTACCTTCCCAAGATCATATACATTATCAACATTATCAAACTATGGAAGGATATATTTCTAATAACTTACTAAAATTATTTGTTTTTTTATGAAACAAATTCGTGTGTTATACCGAACAAATTGTATTTAAGGGGTAAGGCCACCATGTCGTATAAAAACAAAAGGTCAAATTGGGGAATTTTTTCAGAGAGTATATTAAAAACTATTAAATTTTCGTATTTAGTGCTTTATTATATATCTCAAAATATACCAAAAAATATATTGAACAAACTTTCTTATTATGAAATGGCCGCTAAGATTTAAACAATGGCGTTTTTGGAGGTCCAAAACGGGCGAACAAATTTTACGTATTTATTAAAATAAACTAAATTTTTATTTAAATAAAAAAAATTGTTCGATAGCAACCAATAAAATAGGTTAATTAAACAGTTTGGTTCAGTAAAATAAACTTTTTCTCTAAGTGTATTAATGACCTCAGTTTTGTCGTTAAAAAAATTAAAATTTCACATACAATATTTTTCTATTTCGTCCAATATATCATTTAAAAACAATAGGTATAATTTACTTAACTAGCAAACATAATGCGCGTGATGTTTATTGTTTCACGTTTAATATACTAAACAATAAAATAAAATTTCTTTCAAAAATATTGTAAACCAATTTTTTAAATAATAAATTTTTGTTCATTTTTAATATTGGTTAATATAAAAAACTATTCCCCCGAGTCGAACTTTGAGACCTACTAGTAAGTATATTTTAAACCTAATCTGCACCTAAGAAACCCTTGGTGCTCCTTTTCCTCCTGCGTAATTACTATTAAACTCTGACAACTCCTTTTTAAGTACTAATTGAACCTTAAACCCTGTATTGCTTCTACTTAAATCTTACATTTACAAATATTATTGAAAGTATTATATTAAATAATAATAATAATAAATATAATTAAAAATAATGTTAAATTACAATTTGACTAATCAACAACTTTTGTTGAAGCGTTACTTTTTATATCACTTCTGTTGCACGCCAAATTAATTTTGTGCAACTAATTATTAAAAATTGATAGGATGACGTGGAAATAACTCTGGAATAGTAAACTTGTAATTTTAATACTTTTCATTTATTCACTATCATTTACATAAATTGGTAGTGTAAGAAAACCGTGACATTAATTTTAGTTCGCGACGGAGTATTGAACAAGACGTTTCATTTGAATCTGTTTTATCTCTTAATTTCTATTGCAGTTTGGAGTGTTGAATTTAAGGAAATTTTTAGGAAAGGGAAAAATTAGGGAGTGTCAGGAAATTAAGTCATTTGATTGGTTTTCAAATTCTATTGAAATTGGAGGAGACAGAAAAGTGGTGGTGGCAAATGGTTAAGCGATGGTTATCTTGAAAATCGGAGTCTTGGTACATAAAATTTTGCAAGGGTCTATTTTTATGATTGAGTTGTCCCTTTTTTATGATGGGCAACTTTTCGAACGTGTCGTTACAGAGTATTGCTGGGATTAAGATTTTAAAATTAGAAAGTTTATACAGCTATAATCCGCTTACTTTAGTCAAGAAAAAAAATGGCAAATACATATTTTTGGAAATACCAATTTTTTTTGCTTTTAAATATATTTTACTAAGTTTTTACAACGTAACATACCGCCCGCCATTGAGTCGCTTGCGATCAATTAATAAAATTTCAATTTTCAATAGGAAGTAGTACAATCTTTTTGATTGAACGTTTATAAATTCCTGTTATTGTTTTAATGCTAACTACTCTTACAATATCATCGTTGCCTGGATGAACTTCTACAATTCGTCCTATACTCCACTGAAGTGGAGGTAAATTATCTTCCTTAACTAATACCATTGCACCAACAGTAAATTCTTCTGAACCCTTTTTATTCCATTTTTTCCGGGTATTTAATTCGTTGAGATATTCTTTATGCCATCTTGAAAGGCGATTGGTAGGAACTTCAGAAAAATTTACGTCAGGGAAACTTGTTAATGAATCACTGATTAAAAAATGACCTGGAGTTAACGCAATAAGATCATTAGGATCTGTAGACATTGGTGTCAAAGGGCGCGAGTTTAAAATAGCTTCTATTTCAATAACATGAGTGTTAAAATCTTCGAAGGTCATTAGTGTGTTTCCTACTGTGCGAAAGAAGTGTCTTTTAAACGACTTGACAGCTGATTCCCATAAACCGCCAAAGTGCGGTGATCGAGGAGGAATAAAATGCCATTTTATGCCTTGATTTACTAGTTTTGAGGAGATCTTTTCACCTTCAGTTTCGATTAATGCGTGCATTGCTGCAATTCTTTGTTTGCACCTACGAAATTTGTCCCGTTGTCAGAGTAAATATTTAGACTTTTACCTCTTCTTGCAAAAAATCTTTTTAAACTACTTAAAAAAGCATCAGTAGTTAATTCGCTTACAACTTCCAAGTGAATTGCCTTCGTAGCAAAGCATACGAATGCTGCTACATAGACCTTAACCTTATTTCGGTTTCGGTTTTTCTTTTCTTTTATAAAAAAGGGGCCGCAATAGTCAACACCTGTATTCAAAAATGGTCTTGATTGAACCAATCGATTCTTAGGCAAATTACCCATTACCTGTTGCGTGTTTATTTTTTTAAATCGAAAACATTTTACGCACGAATTGATTGTTCGCTTAACTGTGTTTTTTCCGTCTAATACCCAATAACGCGTTCTGACTTGATAAAGTGTGTTTTGAATCCCAGCATGCAATGAAATTTTGTGATAATGCTGAATTATCAAATTAGTCACGTGGTGATTTTTTGGTAGAAGAATCGGGTGTTTTTGATCAAAGGTTAGAGTAGAATTGTCAATTCTACCTCCAACGCGCAATATTTTATTATCATCCAAAAGAGGGTTTAATGTTTTCAAGGAACTTGTTTCCTTTACTTCATTCGAATTTTGTAAATCATGAACTTCGCGAGCAAAACCTTGATTTTGAACTATTTTAATTACGCGATTATGAGAATCTTGTAATTCTTCGATTGAAAGTTGATTGGACTTGCTCTTCATTTTTAGGCACAATTTTGCGAACTTTACACAAAGTGCAATTACGCGGACTAATCTGGTGAAAGATGAAAATCTTTAAAGAAATGTAGAATCATTCACTAAAATTTTTAAAACAGTAGTTTTTCGAAGTTCAATGAGAGGGACCTTTTGTATGGAGAAAATTGGCCACTTTGAATTGTCTTGAATTAACCATTCGGGGCCGCATTTCCAGGTATAATTTTTGGTGAATGTGATTAAGTCTTGTCCCCTTGAGAGATAATCTGCGGGATTTTCTTTGGTAGAAACGTGTTTCCATTGAGAAAATGGTGTAATTGATCTAATTTCTGACACTCTGTTAGCAACAAAGGTTTTTAGTGCACTTGGTTGGGTATTCATCCAATTAAGGGTAATGGTGGAATCAGACCAAAAATGTGTCTCATCCAGTGTGATAGGCAATATTGACCTGACTGTATAATACAATTTTGCTAATAATAGGGCTGCACATAATTCTAATTTTGGAATCGTGAGTTTAGAATTTAAAGGAGCTACCTTGGATTTTGAGCATACTAAACGAGAAATGCAATCGTTGTTTTTGTTTGTTGATCTGAAATAAATGCATGCCCCATAAGCAGCTTCGCTTGCATCGCAGAAACCATGCAATTGGACATTTACGAAATCTTTTATTACTACTTGTCGTTCGAAAGATACACGATTCAATAATGACAATTGATTTTTGTAATTAATCCATTGAGTGTAGATTGTTTGAGGAACAGACTCATCCCAATCAAGTTTTTCTTGCCACAATTTTTGCATGATTTATTTTGGTACAACGACAATTGGACCTAAAAGTCCGATAGGATCAAAAACTTGAGCAATTTGTGAAAGAATACTACGTTTTGTAACACGTGTTTGGGCATCTGAATGACGACTATTATATAGCAATATATCTTTTTGTGCATTCCATTGAATTCCTAGAGTTTTAATCGATGTTGATGGGTCATTAAACAAATCTACGTCCTTTACCTTATTAGGTAATGACGCAATTAAGTTAGGATCATTTGAGGACCATTGACGTAATTTGAAACCGCCTAGCTCTAATATCTCAATTATTTCATCTCTGAGTGTAAGAGCATTTGAAAATGTATCCCTACCTGTCATTAAATTATCTACACAAAAATCGTCTTTAACAACTTGAGCTGCCAGAGGATATTTGTCAACATTATCCTCTGCAATTTTTTGTAACGTACGAATGGCTAAAAAAGGAGCAGAAGCTGTTCCGTAAGTTACTGTGTTTAAAGAGTAAATTTTTACAGGTTCATTTGAGTTTTCGCGCCAGAGAATTTTTTGGAAGGATCTATCATCTTCATGTATTAGTACCTGACGATACATTTTTTCAATGTCAGCCAATAGTACATAATTGTGAATGCGAAATCGAGTTAAAATTGTAAAAATGTCATTTTGAATAGTGGGACCAATCATTAGAGTATCATTCAACGATATGTGTGTACTTGTTTTTGCAGAACCGTCGAAAACGACACGTAATTTTGTAGTTGCACTGTCTTCTTTTAAGACAGCATGATGGGGAAGAAAATATCCTCTTTTATAGAACTTGGTTTCTTTTAATTCCGACATATGATCTAACTTTAAATAATCACTCAAGAATGTCGAGTAATTGTGCTTAAATAGAGAATCTTTCTTGAATTTTCGCTCAATAGAATAAAGGCGTTTTAAAGCCAAAGGGTACGATTCTCCAAGATTGTTAATCCTTTCATTAAAGGGTTGTTTCACAATATATTTTCCGGTTGAATCGCGTGTTGTGTTTTTTAAGAAATGCTCTTCTACCATTGCTTCCTCACTTGAAATAAATGTTCTATCAGGAATTTCTTCAATCTCCCAAAATTTTTCTATTTGTTTATTTAACGGATTAGAAATAACGTTACATGCAATTTTTGTGGGATTGAATGGAAGTGTACTTATATTCCCTGCAATAATCCAGCCGAATTTAGTTTTTTGAAGAAGAGCTGGTTGATTTTCGATTCTCATTTGCCCTAAGCATAAAATGTCAAAGAAAATTTCTGCCCCTATAAGAGCGTCGATTTCGGAAGATTTGTAAAACGTCGGATCAGCTAGTGGTATATTAGGTGGAATTTTGATTTGTCTCGAATCAATTTGTTGAGATGGCAACGAATTTGTAATAGTCGGCACGACTAACAATGAAATATTCGCTTCATAATTTTCACGCATAGATAGAATTTTTGTCTCAACTGAGTGATTAATGTTTGTTTCTAATTGATTTAACGCGGTTATCGGCATATTAACATTTTTACGTTTTAAATTTAAAATTTTTGCGAATCGTTCTGTGATAAAATGAGCTTGAGAACCACTATCAAGAAGAACACGCGCTGTTTGTTTTTTCTTGTTGTTGTCCAGAAATGAAATTTGAGCAGTAGCTAACAAGACTTGACTTGAAATGTTTACATGTAAATTATTCGTTGCTACTGTTTGTTCGTTATTTGTATCTGATTTGTCAATGTGTAGGAGTGTGTGGTGCTTACTATTGCATTTTTTGCAAGGGCTGCAAAGACAATTTTCAACAGTATGTCTTTTGCGAAGACAATTGAAACAAAGTTTCTCTTTTTTAGCAAATTGTAATCTTTCTACTTCTGTCATTTTTAGAAATTTCTCGCAATTATGAATTTTATGAGAACCCTTACAAAAATTACAATATTCAGCTTTTTGAGTTACCGCAAAGGAACCCTTTTTTGAATTAGATTGTGATTCTTTAGTTGAGTTTTTATTATTGTTTTGAGAATTACCTTTATTGGTTGCATTTTCGAAACTTGTAGCTTCAAGAATTTGACATCGCGTTTGTAAAAATTCTAAAAATTGTTGTAATTTCGGCAATTCCTTTGTGGCAATTGATTTTTCCCATTCCTCGTGAGTAAATTTATCAAGTTTTGCTGTCATAATATAAATAATAATTGTATCCCATGAATCGACTGGCAAACCTAAGACCTTTAAGGCACGAGTATGTGTGTTTATATTATCTAGCATATGTCGAATACTTGAAGCATTATGCCGAGCGCAAATAGGTTGCTCGAAAAATAGTTTTAAGTGATTTTGTATGATAACGCGTTTGTGATCGTATCGCTCTGTTAATAATGACCATGCAATATCATAATTTGCTTCAGAAGTTTCTAACGATTGTATAACTGTTGCGGCTTCCCCTTTTAAGCAAGATCTCAAATAATGCAATTTTTCTATATTTGAGATATTTGTTTTGGTATGTACCATTGATTTAAATGAATCATAAAAACACATCCATGTTTCATATGATCCGTTAAACGAAGGTAAGTCAATTTTTGGAAGTCGCACGTTCATACTTGAATTTGTTGGAAGATTTACAGATGAAACTTCGGATGAATTTGTGACTAAAATTTGTGCATTACTAGTAACGATTGGAGCAATTTCAGGCGTCCCTACCGAAAAAGAAGGATCATTATCTCGAATAAATTTCCTAGCATTTCGCATTAATTCATGATATGTATTTTCAAAGTCATCGCGATATGTTTCGTGTGAAGGATCGTCATCAAGAGATATAATTTCAAAATGCAGTTCTTCAAACACTTGTAAATGACCTTCTAACTTTTCTAATCTTGCCCGAACTTCATGGACATCGTCAATATTTATATCAGTATCTTTTGATGTTAAAAACTTAGAAAAAATAGTTAATTGTCGCGTTAATGACCCGCGTTGATATTTTAGTTTACCTATGTCACTCATTTTGATATTTTTATTGTACTCGCATTGTTCTTGAATTAAAAAAGTATATCAGTGATTCATTAACTAACTTACTTACTACTTCGTTGTATACATGACTTTAACGTTGAGTTACAATAGCAGCAATTTAGAAGGCGACGATCAGCAACAGGACGTTTCTCAGGAAATGTTGACCTCAGCGCAGCAATTGAAATTTGATTTATTATCACTTCATGAAAATAAATCTCCTCGAATACTTGTATGACAATTTGTAGACCCACTGGTAGATGAAATAATGCCTCCGAATGAATTATCAAGAGTTGTATAATGATTGCAACTTGAGAATATGTAATTGGTGTCCTTATCAGAAATTAGATGTGGACCACAGCAGTTAAGAGTTTGTATGGTATTGCATCGATGAACTTATGACACAATTTACTGTCAAATGATTGACAACTTAACTCCAACGGAGTGAACTTTTTATAATTGTTACAGAATAACGTCGCGAACTTGTCACTAAAACTG